TGGGCCACTTCAGAATTTCAGGAAACGTTTCATATCAGTCATTCTCTTTCATCAGACTAGACAACGGTAGCATGGCCTAAGACGGCTTTGAAATAACTTGTGCAGCCACAGGTGTTCTATAGCAACAGTCACTTCCAGTACATGCCTCGCACAGTGCTCTACACGTCGATCGCATGGCCAGGAGAACGCGAAAGCGCTATTCACACTGACTGTCTCTGAGCAAATTTGGCCACAGAATTCGAATAAGAAGCTCCATGACGACTAGATGAGCCTCCAAGCGGGCAACGTCTCTCACTAGGTAGGGTTGCTGCTCACTGCCTGTGCTTTTATTGTCGGTGGCAATGTATTTACTGGTGGCTGAGCAACCTTTCCAGCAACTTATTGACCACCAATTACTCCAAACCGTGGATTAGATATCTTATATTTAGGAACCTTTTTCGGCAATTGACTGTGAACAGAGTTTGGCGCGGAGAGCTGCTTCTAAGCTCGGGACGCCAGGGAACTGATTGCGCCAGAGTATTCCATCCCACTCTCGACGAACACATGGCGACGAACGGACACCGCCAACCTTTGAACATGCTCCAATCAGCCACGTTACCGAATGGCTTCTAAACGAAATTCTGATATGCCAAAAACCACACCTGAGACTTTGTGTTCGGTGACGAAGCAGAAGTATGTGCCCAACCACGGAAAGTTCAGACGAAATCCCCAAGTACCGATACATGGCTTTAGACTCTCCGTCTAAGCTTCCGGCCTTCACCCCATGCCACGTACAACGCACCACGCCCAATCGATCCTCGGACGGCACCTGCGCCGTTGTTCTGTCACCCGCCTCATTTGGGTTGAGAGATGGATGCCACAAAGCTTTCGGGGCCAAATCCGCTGTGCAGCCATCGCTGGTATCAAAAGACCCCGGACCCCAGCAAAGCTTCCGTCAAAGCCAAAAAGATGATACCTTGAGAGATTGGGCGGCCGCAAACATGCCGTCAACGGCTTTTAGCTTTGCGGCATTCAGACGATGTCTCACACAGCGTCCAAAACAGCAACGATGTTCAAACGGTCAAACCACGGCGTGGTGCTTAACTGGTCTCCCACGCGAACCAGGCGTGCGGAACCAATTGATTCCATCGAGAAAAGCTTCGGGGCATCAGACCGGCGTCAAATACTACGCATTATAGGATCCTGGGCAGACAAAAGCGCAAATCACCACCGTCGCCATCCGTCGCCGTTGTGGTCAAACATGACAATGGCTGGCGTAAGCGATGGGCGTTTGGACCGATGATCGACGCCAGGAAGCTTTCACCCTCCCTGGAGCAGTAATGCTGCACAGAGCAACAATGGATCCGGGCGTCCCGCTCCATTGGAGGCTCCAAAAGCTTCCCGCTGCGGAATCCAACCAACCTCGACTGGCGAAACAGGGGCAGCTGGGACATCGAAACAAGTCTATCCACGCTGTCGACTCGTGCCGCTGGACGAGGCACACACCTGATGAGTTGGTGACGGATGAGCTCCAACTCGGCTTGCTTGTCTCAAGCAGCCACTCAATTGACCGAGGGTCATGCCTGTGAGAAACGAGGCGAACCACAAAGGCTTACGCGCACACGAAGCCATTCACACTGAGGATACACCCCCATCGGCTCCAGCAAACAGATCTCTGGGGTTAAGGCAGAGACTACTGCGCTTGTGCAGTACTCCTGTTCGCACTACTGCGCACTAGTATCGCTGAAGGCCACTGGCGAAAGTTTCTTCGAGGGGGCGGGTAGGCGATCTACTAATCGCTGGCCGTTACGGCCTTTCCGCATGGATAAACTGCGACACGTTTTTCCTTTTTCCTCCGAACCGACAACAGACAGTGGCTCGGTCAAAAAAAGGCACGCCGTCTCGATTCCTGACCTGTCAACCGTCAGGTGAGCGGCTTGGCCTCTTGGCCTCTAGTGAAAGTGGCTGGAACAAGGCGATGTGATCTATGGTCTATCACTAAGCCTAGCAATGCAACCCCCCCCAATTTGCTGTTCGTGAATGAATACCGCCACAAGGAGAAAAGAAACGTGTGGCCGTACGCACATCCAAACATGTACAATGGGGGAGCGCCACCAGGCACTTTCGGGATGTTTGAGACATTCGAGCGGTGGAACGAAAACCTGTTTGCAGCAATCTAGTTCGCCTCGTGGCGTCGCGCTTTTCCGGCAACCTGCATTCTGATGTCTGGGTGCGTGACACCCACCACTTTCTGTCTTCCCCCACATCTGTTCTCGTCCGGGCATCAGCATGCAAAGCAGATGCCCTTCTTTTACCAGGTCGCCGGTAGCCAGGGAAAAGGCATCCCAGGGTATCGTTTGACCTACAAGGACCAACAGGAATCGGATACGGGAACCAATCAGTGCCGGGAAGAGAATCCAGCGATAGCACACGACGGCTGCCACCAGCGAGTATTGTGTTACGAATGCCTCGTACGCTTCGGCTACCTTTCCGCGGTAGCATGAGACAAGACCGTGGACCGGCTCCGGAGGCTAGCGATAAAAGGAACATTACGATCAGTAATGCAGAAAGATATGCCCTTTTCGAGCCTTGTGCAGTGCCCCAACCAATGTCAGCCACAGTATACACATGTGGCATGGCCTGGGTTAGCATGAATTTTTACTTTCCGTCACCCGCCGCCGTCTTTCGGTCCGGGCCCGCAGGAAGCAAGCCTCAACCGGTCTTGTTCATCCAACTAACCGTCTCTCTAGGAGGACCCACGATACTAGTGGTAGGATTAGGGGTCCAAAGGGCAGGCTTGACGCCAATGGCGGTCGGGACAGAGGTCAAAGATACCGAGAGATCGTCTCGAAGATTGGGATAGACGCCTTCCTTCGGACGTTTCTATTGACAACTGCGTTGTTTGTTCGCACCAATGGTGAGGGTCAGCGAGCGAACGGCCGGCTGATCCTTCCTTCTTGATCCTCCCTTTCGGGTCATGTTATTGTGCGACGATGCGCGAACCCCCTTTTCCTTTGGTGAATGACGATTCCACATTCAAAATGGGCCTTTCTTTTTGAGATTATCCTCGCACAGCGTTCGCCAGATTGACCAACGCTGAAGGAGGGGGGCGCGTGGAAAGGGGTAACGGAGAAAGAGGCAGGCGCACGAGTGTGCGGGAGCTAACATAGTCACCGTCTACTACTAGCCTACCTGCCTTTCCTCTCGAAAGCCCGGCTCAGCCCAGATCGAGAATGCCCATAGCTCGCCCCCCCTCGTTGTGCGCGCCCAGTTGCCGCTGTGCTGCATGCGGGTGTGGCCAACCCGATCATTCCATGTTTGAGGATCTGTTCGTCCCCGATCCAGGTGCATGCGAAACCCAAGATGGCGGCTAGGAACCCGCTGGCTTCTCTTCGTCCTGGAGATCTGGACAGCTGCCTGGAGCTAACAAAATGGTCCAGCTCAACTTTAATTCTCTACGCTGGCTGGGGGGCTCTTAGCTGATGGTCAGAGGCGAAGATGGGGGTTAGGTGAGTATCGAGCAAAGTCCAGGCCCAGTTTGACGACACAATGCTAATAATGGGCAAATGAGGCTTGAAGGCGCCCGGCTGCAGACGTCAAGGAGGGGATGAATTTAGGCGAACGGTGTAACCTGGCGTCGGAGATAAGACGCCTAGTCCTAGATCTCGACGATGAAGGGGTAGGAGGGGTGTTACTAGGCAGGACCATCTGGCGAAATGTGTGACATTGCGTCGGAGATTGGGCCGGTTGTATCCAGATGTTGGGGTCGAGATGGCTTTGGTGTAAGGACAGAGTCTAGGTCATCGAGGGGGTGGTGACGGCAAGCCCGGAGCGGGCTGGCCAAGGGGCAAAGACTGAACGTTCGGAATGAGGCAAGTGATGATCTTGGGGACCGCTAGTGCGGGCGACACTGGGCATCCGGGGGGGGGGGGGATTGACCGCGATATCTGGCGCGTCATTCTTCGATGAGGGTCTATATTCCCGAAAACAGGTTGATACTCGGATCGTGAGGATGAGCATCTTGCTCGGGCCGGATCTATTGCATGACTCTGGCCGAAGGACACGTTTTGCGATGAAGGAAGGGATCGTCATCTGTCAAAGGGATCTGGGAGAGGGTCATGGAAGTGTTTCTTCTGCTTGCGGTTGTGGTTGATATCGGAGGTTCATGGTCCCGGAAGCGTTCCCGCCCAAGCTCCCTCCCTGGCGGGCCGAAGGCTTCAGTGCTGTCCAGGGCACCGGGGTAAGCTTGTTTTCGAAGCGTTTGACGTTGAAGGCTTGGTAGAAGTCTGGCCCGGTAGAGGGTCGCCATCGCCGGATAGGGAAATCCGTAAAGTCATCCTGTCCTCGTGCCGACGCCTGACATGCTTAGCATACGTATGTATTTCCGCAAACGGATGCGGCTAAATGATTCGAGGCCCAGAACGTCGGGATCTCGTGGCGTGAAACGAATTGCTGGAATGTCCATGTGTTGAGTTGACGGGATGATGGCAGGATTCGTCAGTCCATGAGATTTCCATGCGACGAGACAGAGAAGGTTTATTCCGGTCCGCCCTTCCACGGGGGTCAACCCAGGGTTGCATTTGCCGGGCGGAGATTCGGCGACCCGTGATTGCGGAGTTTGGCGGCCGTGTGGGGCCGCAGCGGGCGGACTTTGGGGCTGGCGGAGTTTGACACATCCAACATCCGCTCCGGACCCTCCGACGTGATCTCACCCAAACTCCGTCATCTCACCGAGCCCCCCAGTACAACGAACTCATGCACTCATCCACCGCGTAAGCTCCAGCCTGCCTACTCACCACACGTGGACTCAGACAGGCCAGATTGTTTCTCATCGAGCGAAGATTGATTTAGTGGAAATCTTTCTTGTCATTCCCACTTTCTCGCCTCCCATCTTCCCCCAGCTTCAGGGCTGGCTGAGCAAATCCCGTCCCTCTTATACAATCAGGTTTACTCAATAGTCGCCTCAAGAATCTCAGTCTCCGCCTCAAAAGCGGAACAGGACACACAAGGCACAAAGAGCCATGTCCGCAACCGATCCCAAGATGGGCGGCGATGCGGATGCCGCGGATAAGTCGCGGCAGAAGAGCTGCAACGCCTGCGTACGGAGCAAGCGCCGCTGCGACAAGCGGACACCGCGCTGCACCCGCTGCTCAGAGAAGAACTTCGCCTGCGTCTACCAGAACCTGCCCCCGGCCGGCGGTGGTCCTGCCGAGGGTGCGGCAGCAGCAAAGGCTGCCACAGTAAGCGATGCCCAGGATGATCCGCTGCAGGCCATGGACCTCGAGGACGGTAGCAGTGACCATCTCCCGCCGCCGCCGCATCCTTTTGATTTCAACACGCTCGGCGGGAGCTCTTCATCGACATCACCCACCTATGTCAATGGCACACTGGTGATGGACGAGCCCACTGACAGCAGCGCGACGACGTCGTCGTTGAACTTGGATCCCAACATGCCGAATTTCGATTTCAACTCGGTCATGGACTTTTTGAACGCAGACCCGGCCCAGGGCGGTGAGATGCAGGTCTGGGAGACGCCGCAGTTCCCCCAGCTCTCCAAAAGTCTCGCGCCCGAACTGCCGTACATGGGTTCCGTATGTTGTGGTATGGAGAGGGACGACATTCTGGTAAGCAACCCAACTCTTCTTCATCGCTCAACCCCCCCTCTTCCTCTCATCTCATCCATCACCACGCATCACCACATCCTACCCCGACCCACAAGCACCCCTTCTCATCCCCTTTCGAAACCCCCTTCTCACCGTATGATATCCGTCATTACATGCCAGCCCCATCCCTGACCAAGAGAAACTCAGTGCATGTCGCAGGGAGACTTCCAGCCATGGCAGATCCACGAGCCCGACTCGCGCATCGGTTACATGGTGTCCTACCTCACAAACATGCACACGACCTTCGCCCAGACGAAGCAGACCCCCTTCCTCCACCGGCACCTCTACCGCGGCATTCACGCCACGCCGCGGCCCCTCCTCGCCGCCTACACGGCCATCTCCGCCTACGCGGGCCGCACCAACGCCAACAAGGGCTGGGCCATCCGCGCCATCTGCGAGGGCGCCGCCGAGGTGCTCAAATCCGCCAAGGACCCGGCCGCGAGCGCGGCGATGACGGGGCATGAGAAGCTCGCGCGCACGCAGGCGCTGTGGCTGCTGCAGACGATTCGCTGTTTTGACGGGGATGTGGCGATGAGAGCGCAAGGGGAGAGGGATATGGAGGTGCTGAAGCGGTGGTTGAAGGAGTTGGAGGGGCTGAGGGACAACCTTGACGATGTGCACCTGCTGGATGATCTTGCCCTCAGACAGCGGCCGCCTCGGTCGTGGGAAGTGTGGGTGTTTAATGAGTGTGTGAGGAGGACGGTGCTGATGGGTCATATCTTCACCTCGTTGTTTGAGATTCTGAAGGCGGCTGGCGAGAGTGGTAAGTTTTCCCACCTCATGTTGCCCCCTTTCCGTTGCCCTATGAGCCGCATCAATATCGCCTCTCAATGCATCCGAGTTTCGGTGTTCCGAGCTGACCGACGAAACCAGAACCGGACGTCACCAACTGGCTGGCACCTCACCGGTGGACCTTCTCCAGATCATTATGGGAAGCCCAGTCATCACCTGCCTTCTTCTCGTCGTGGCGGGAGAAGCCGCTGTTCATGGTCAACAGCTTTTTTGTGCAGGAGGTTGCCAAGGTGGCGAGGCCGTTCGACGTGGACGAGTTTGCGAGGTTATTTCTTACTGTGTAAGTTGACTGCTTTGGGACGGAGGATGTCGCAGACTGAGTTGTTGTCTGTGTGCTAACAAGGATTGTGGTGCAGAAACTTTGGTGTTGAGGAGACGAAGCATTTCATGCTGGAGGTCTGAACCAAGCATTCGCAAGCTGCGGAGGTGGTTAAAAAGGTTTCCGGGTCGCCAAGGCTTGTGAAGAATGCATCTCGAACGCTAGCTCTGCCTGATACAAGCAGGTCTGTTGCGACGAGGCTCTGTCATGGGATTCACCTACAAGCATGAGCCGATCCTTCTCATCGCCGGGCGTTTAGAATAGAAGATGCAGCGCATGAAAGAGCGGGGGCAGGTAAAGAGGTACGACGAAACGACATTCTTCTTAAGCATGGCCCGGTATGAGTTCAGATTTAGCAGCTATAGGTTGTCCAGCTATTTCCAATGGCTGACAGGTGAAGGCGACGTCGGGATGGCAACGACCCTCCTGGAAGCACCTAATACCCTGCAGCATTCTGCGGAAGCTCAGGGGGCCTGTAATCAAGATCACCGAGATATCTCCCGCCGATGAACGGCGCTACTGAGATTAAGGAGGATTTCATCGTCTCGGATGCACCCTCCTAGGGATCAGGCAGTGTGCATTTGAGCTGAGGTTTAGCAAGGCAGGCCTGGCGTTAACCAAAATGGTTGTTTGGCTCTGGTTCATCAATGCACAAGATCGTTTGGTATGGCTTGATCTTATGTACTTCCAGTGTGTGTTAGATTGCTGCCGACGAATCCATGGCTACTCCAAGTACAAGCTCTGCTGCATCGCTGTTCACTCTTACCCTCGTTTCTCCTATCCTTTCAACCGAAGTATGTATTAGTGCATCCAGCAGAAGATCTTTTGGATTGGGCATTGTGCAGGCTTAAGGAGCAAACAGCAGGAGTCGAGATGACTGAGGGCTCTGACGAAGCTTCAGTCCTTGCTACGTTCTCTTTGATCACATTTACTTAAGGTCCATCTCCGAAGACACTAAAAATGCGCGCTTCCAATCGTATCTCAATGACTTGCCAGGGCCACATGGAAGATAGCATTTCACGAAATCAAGTCGACGAGCTTAAGTCGGCCAAGTCTTCGTCTCAAATTTCCTCAGTCCGACCTTTCATGGTCGAGAGTTCATCTGATAGCCTGGATCAAACCTTGCCCGTGCGGACCGTCCCGATATCTGCGAAGTTAGGCCCGCGACAATTCAAACTCAATCACCACGCAGCATAAAATAGTCAACGGGAGTTTTCGATTATCTTGAGTATCAATGTGCATGTCACCAACCTCTGCCTGCAATCAATAACATACACGGGGCCGCCGTTAAGAGGTACAAATGAGACCCTTTTGTCAACTACCTAGGCTGATTTTATCAATCTGTCGGGGACATCTAGCCAACCCCCCTTTCAATGAGATGCCATAACTCCAGACGCCGGAATCTCTTTGGAACAACCAGATATTGCGTTTTCCGTCGTTTTGTATCTGTTTTCCGTATCATACGAGCAAAATTCCATTGACACAGCCGTCGTTTTCGGGACAGTAAAAAGGTCAGCTAATAATCAATCTGGAGAATCACCATCGTGAAGAAATGAAGAAAAGAAAGAAGAACCGAAGAAAAGAAAGACGAAAATTGAGCAGAACCTACTTGTTCGTTACCTGCGCGTATTTTGACCAAGCGATCTTGCCAGAAGCTGTCGTAACTCCCAATTCAGAGATGTTGACTGGATTCTGAGGTCAGTTGAGGATTTCCAACCAATTTCAGGAACCATACCCTCGATGATTGTTCCTTTAGTAAGAACTCCGAGAGAAGTGTATAAAGGCGCATTCGGGTTCTTCTTCACCGACAGGATGGGAAGTTTGACGGTGACATTAAGCTTAGGATGGACAACATGGGCATATTTGTAGCGCTGCGCAGTGGAAGGCATGTCAGCTGTATCTGTCGACAGATTGAGTTTGAAGGAATTGAAAACTGACCAGACCCATAGGGCGAATGAATCTCTCGGCTTTCGGGTTGGCGCGGGTGAAGTTCTGTCCAACGAAGGTAGGTTTGGTGATCTGTGGTTGTGGTCAGTGGATGCTAACATCGATACGCAGGAATGCCGCGCATCATAGGAAATGAGAGCCCATCGCCCCCAAATCGAATAAGGCAGCTCGCTGAGTCACTAACCATCCTCTTCCATTGCTTCTGGTGCGTTTTCTTTCCTGTTCCTACAACTTTAAACATCTCCTCTTCAGAAATGCCGCGGACCTTTGGCAACTGGACTTTTCTTAGTTCTGGACCGTACCGACGGTTTGGTAGGCTCTAACTCACGGGAACGGCAAACTAGAGTATTGTTAGCATAAAGAACCAGCCATAAAACATTTCTGGGGCCTCCTTACTCTCGCTGCCTTCTCAGCACGCTTGTTCTTGATCTGCGAAGAGATGGCCTTGGCATTCTCTGGGTTGTTGCGGTCGAGCAGGTAGGCGGGCATGGGCTCGCTGGGCTCCTTCTCGTTGTTCGTCTTGACATTGCGCTCCTCGTGGGCCTTGATCTGCTTGCGCATCTGGATCTTCTCCTTTCTTCTGCTCTCGGCGTGAAGCTTAGCGCGGAGGCCACGGAGGTTCTGGGCATCCTTCGAGGCCTTGTGTCCCTCTCTTGCCTCCTTCTTTCTCTTCCTCTCCTCGTAATCGAGACGGCGACCATGCTGCTTCCTCCAGCGCTCCATGTACCTATATTATGTCAGGGAATGCCAGGTGTTTCGGTTGTGTGAAGGATTCCGTACTCGTTCTACGGAGGGCTTGTTAGCATAGCCGGACTGAGGCGATAGTGTCTAGTAACTTACCTGAGGCATCTTGAGGGGTCTGCGCTCGAGAGCGACTTCGAAATGCTTGTTTTGCGGTACGAAGACGTAAAAAGTGTCGGTGCGACGGTGGTGATGATAGTTCGTCAACAGAGCCGCCAGGCGTTGACGATGCAGGCAAGTGGCGGGTCGCGAAGAAAAAAACGCCAGTACTTCTCTTATCGATAAGAAAGCTCGGACTGTCGAAAAAGTTGCGGCGGGCGGGGGCCTGCCCGCCAAAAGCGGGAGTGGATCAATGCTTAATCCGAGCGCAGCTGGGGGACCTCACTAGGAACCTACCTTCCTAGAACTTTTTTGAGCTTCACGACGGCTGGGTCCAATCGCGCATAACGTCAGAAGCCATTGGAAATCCCCCGCCGGGTCCAATTCACCACGCCGAACATTCTCAAAATGAGTCGATCCCTGTTGCGCTCCGTCTTGGAGTTTAGGACACCCGTCACCCGCCTCCCGCCTACATTCCTCCTCCCGATTCAAGCTAGGAGATTCAACTCTACGGCGCCGATCATCGAGCCCCAGAACACATCCGTCGCCGAAGATGCCCCCGCCGCGGCTGCTCCCTCAGGTGCCGTTGCCGCCGAGCCTTCAATAGCCCAGAAATCCGTTGCGGCGCAAAAGCCAACGACCCCGTCAGGACCCATTTCTGAACAAGTAAAGGCGGTTCTACCATTCCTGGCCGCCCAGCCAAGCCACTACATTACCTTCCACATCCACGGACGCCCCTACCTCGTCACGCCAGGCGACAGCGTCCGCCTCCCGTTCAAGATGCCTGGTGTCGTACCCGGCGACGTCCTCCGTCTCAACCGAGCGTCCATCATCGGTAGCAGAGACTACACCCTCAAGGGCGCGCCATTCATCGACGAGCGGCTTTACGAGTGCAGAGCTGTGGTGACGGGTACTGAAAGTGAGCCCATGCGGTTCAAGGAAAAGACGAAGAGGAGGCAGAGGAAGGTGAAGACGGTCAAGAGCAAGCACCGCTACACGACACTGGCTATTAGCGAGTTGAAGATCAACAGCTCGGAAGAGATTGAGGTATAGGCGGCCCGGGGTTTTCCAAACCGAGAGGTATTGGATTGTTGTTCGAGTACTACGAACGGGTGTATAAAACACACAGGGTCGCATGATTCTCTGTACCAATGTCTCCATATCGGGACTGTATCAATAGACAAACAAATTTCACGAGTGAGCGAAGTCGGGCATGGATATGTAATTAAAACGAGTGCCATAAGGCTCGAACTTGAATTTGAAGCGGGCGGGGAGTCCGTCGCTGTCTCGAATGAAGTAATCTGCCGTAACTGGAGGTCGCTGCCTCTGAGGTAATAACGAAAACAAGGTAATGGGATAAACGTGCGGCGCAAACAGCCGAATAAGAATTAAAGCAAGACGCCCCAGAAACTCCGAGCTATGAATGTTTTCCGTCATCATGATCCAAAGTGAAGTTGCCAAATGACGCCCTTTTCATACAACTTTCCAACATTAACGCCCATACGCTCTCATGATCTATTCGTGGCTTTTCTGACACTGGCCCAGTATGCTGATGGCCAAACCGACATGACCTCGGCCTCGGTCGGCATGCGTTCTCGACATCTCGTGACGACGCTCTGGATGATTCTACCAAGGAGTTCCTCATCGATTGGGAGTGCCTTCTCGCTAAGCTCATTAGGGTAAAGGAAGGGATCGGTCTCGTGGAGGAGTTCCTCGCAGGTCGGCCGCATGTGAACATCGCGGTTCAAGCACCTCCTCAAGGTTCTTATCAATGAGGGGGGTACAGGCATGCCGCCCATCCCCCTTGAAGGGAACTCGATATTGTGGTCCCAGTTGATAATGGCTTGGCATCTTGCCATCTGGTTGGCAATGTGACCAAATGGGGCGATTCCGTACACAAGCTGGTAGAGAATGCAGCCAAGTGACCAGACATCGCTGGGCTTGCCCACCTTCATCAGCTTGGGTCGACCAGGAACACGCCCACCTCGGGGCGCGTTGAAGTCCAAGAGTGATTCAGGAGACATGTAGTTCGGTGTGCCGACTTGCGTTTCGCGATGCACATTGACGGTTTCGTCTGTCTGAATGGCATTGGCGATGCCGAAGTCGATCAGCTTCAAGCGACCCTTGACGAGGACAAAGTTGGCAGGCTTGAGATCGGAGTGCACGATCTCGCATTGGTGGACGGCTTGAATACATTCAAGCATCTCTTGCCAATAGAAACGGACGAAAACCGGATCGAACTTGGCGGCCTCAGGGTTTTGTCGACTTCGGATGAGGGTGTTGAGATCCAACTCGCCCATCTCCATGAGCTGATGCTAGGTTAGTTGTGTTCGCGTAGCACATGACGAGCTCACTCACCAGAGTTAGCACTCTCTTCTCATCATTCATTTCATAGTCGTATAGATTGATGACTCGGTCGACACCGTTGAGTTTGCGCAGCAAGTCGATCTCGCCTCGATAACCCCTGATCTGGCCTTCATCTGCATTCTCCAGCGAGACTCTCTTCAAAGCAAACATTGCTCCGTTTTCGGCAGTAACGCGGTAGACCTTAGCGCTACCGCCACGGCCCAAACAGTCGAGCCTTGCATACGACTTCCCATTCACACGGAGGATGTTTCGCTTTTGCCTTCCCTGAGTGGTAGTAGCTGCTCCTGCGGAAGTGGTTGCAGCATCTAGGACAGACATCTTTGGTGGTGGTGGCGGCGCCGGCCTGCGAGGGGTGTTGTTCGCAAGCGAAGACAGTGGTTTCCGGTCAGGAGAAGCAGCAGGTTGTTGACGGGCTACTTCAGTGTTGGCGGAACGTCTCGGGACCTTCTCTTCCTTCTCAACGAGGAGGCTGACTGCGGGCTTGGAGCTTCTGAGGATTGAAGGAATTTCGTTCTCCTGGTCGTGGGCAGATGGTACCTGAGGCCGAGTTGCCGGCAACTTGTAGTGAATCTCCTCCGGCTCTTCTCTCTCCTGGGGTGATTGTCGCGCAGATGCGACCGGCTCTGCGTAAGACGTCGGTCGTCTGTGACCTGGTCTTGAAGGATCGCTCAGAGCCACCGGGCTCCCTGATGCAAGTTGCCTGCCGTTTCCATAAAATGATGAGGCAAGGTCATTGTCGGCCTCACGGCCCTGGCGATCATACTCATTACTTGACATCAAGCCATCGCCCTCAACCTCGCCATTGCCTTCGGCCTCCTCCTCACTCTGACGTCTACGACCACGTCGTGCCGGACCACTGAGGAAGCTTCCTGGAACCTTGCCGACGCGCTTGACACGCATGGAGCCTTGCAGTGCTAGGTTATCCTCCGGCTTGACGTTCCTTCCGACGGTAGAAGGGTGGCGCGAGACACTTCCAGGGTTGATACCAGCGGCATGTCGGCCGGCAGTTACTGGCTCCTCGGAATGCTCCTGCTCGAAATGCGACCCAGACCGGCGCGAATGACCAGTCGAGCTGTTAAGTCGACTTCTGTTGCCCGATGAGCCGGCGGCAATGCGGACAACTCGGACTCCTTGAGCAGGAGTGTTGACGTCCTGGGGCGGTTCTGGCTTCTCATCGGAAGACTGTTCACGGCTTTCTGGCCGACTCCTTGAGCGAGGGCGTTGGTTGGTGGATCGCGACAGTGATGTTGATCGTCGCTTCGTGGGTCCCATCTGGCTTAGACTCTTGGGTGTTGTGCTGAGTCTGACGACTCTCTTGCGCACGGGACTTGTCTCGCGGCTTCTCATGGGTGATGAGGGTTTTGATGATCTCGTCTCATGTGCTTGCGCACTTCCGGACCTGAGGGATCTTCTCTCTTCTGTAGCAGATGTCGTCGACGCAGCAAGGTTGCTTGCGCGACGGCGCGTTCGTGGCGGGGATGGTGCACGCTCAGGTTGGGCGGAGCCGCCATCGTTAAGGAGTGCCTTGGTGAGAGCGCTGAGCTTCATAGGGACCGGAATCTCATCGTCGGAGCTATCGTGCATGGCGTACTGTTGCGAATCCGCCTTCCTAGACAGAGCAGGTGCAGCAGCTGTCGCGTGAACAGGGTTTGATTCGGTTCGGCCCAAGTGCGGGCGCGAGGGCAGTCGACGGAGGCCTTGTCTCTGCGAAGGTCGTCGTGACAATCCGGTGCCAGCGGTACCCATCGGGGTGGGCGAAGCTGTCGACATGTCCATTTTTTCCGGTCGAGGTGGTTGGGGGTGGAGGTTTGTTTTGCAGGTGTGAGCAATGTAGGTAATCGAGCAATTCGGCGCGTCCCTTCCACGTCTCGGAGACTGACCACTTGCCGCCGCAAAAGCGATTGTTTCTGTCGAGTAAGGGATATTTTACGTGTCAATGGTGCCCATGATCCAAAGGATTGAAAATGGAGGAAAGATTAGTTTATGCGGCGCGTCATTAGCATCTTGTAATGCTGGGGGGGTTGTGTCGGTTCCTTGTCGAATTCAACGACGTTCCCAGTATTTGAGGCTAACAGGGGTCGGCCAATGAGAGGGCAGGTTCGGCAGACTAAGTTGTCCGGGCAACTGGCTGGCAGAGCTTAGGGTGGGACGCGAGGCGGCACGTTCCCCTGTTCGTCGCATGAAATTTGCACATCAGATTCCGGCCCTATGCCTGAGGCAGACGCATACTGGAGTGAGCGACGGTGCGAACCGGCATGGCCAAAGCTTCCATTCAAATCGCTTAGAGACGCGCGCACTCGAGATCCATTAGACGCCTTACGGACCCAATGCCCCGCATGTAGGAGGATGAGGGTGCATGTATTCTTGCTGCAAGACGCCGCGCCTGTACTGCAGGACGGTGGAAGGAGCGCAATGTCCCAAACGGCAACAGATGGTAGAAATTTCACGATCACGGGGGAGAATCGTTTTCAAAGAAGCAGCGAGCTTTTCAATTGTCCGAAAACAGCCGGTTTCCCTACACAAATGTGCGTCGAAGTCCAACCCAAGAGTTCCCCCATGCGAATGACATGCGAAAATGTCGGCCAGATGTTGCTGCGTGACTTCTTTGATGAGGTCGGGGCACTCGGCCGGTCATCAGCGTCGTGAGAAGGGTATTTAGTCGAAGAGACCGAAGCCCATGTCGTCGTCGGACTCCTCCTTCTCCTCCTCCTTGGGAGCCTCGGCCTCAGCCTCAGCAGCACCGCCAGCAGCGGCACCGCCAGCGGCGGGAGCAGCACCAGCGCCACCAGAGGGGACGGAGGCGAGCTTGGAAGAACCCTCAGAGATCAGCTGTGTGGAAGTCAGCACGCATGTTCACAGAAGTAAGGCAATTGTCATGCCGGGAGAAAACTGACCTCGTTGATGTCCTTGCCCTCGAGCTCAGAGATGAGCTTGTTGAGGCGCTCGTCATCGGCCTCAATGCCGACGGACTCAAGGACAGCCTTGACGTCCTTGGCAGAGGGGGAGGTGTTGCCACCGAGGCCGAGGAGAAGGTAAGCGGCGAGGTGCTTCATTTTGATAGTGGTATTTCTGGATCAGAGAGCAAGGTCAGCCAAGAGTCCTCGAGATATTCGCAAGCGGCGGAGGATGCGACAGGCATTACCGGCAGTGACAACGTCGGCGAGGGAGCAGTGCAGCGGGGAGTAGGACTCACAGTTTCTTGAAGAGAACACGAGAGGTCAATCAATTTAACCGCAAGTTGGGCGGAGACTGAATCTTCGAGTCCTAAGAGGATAGTTGGCGGTGGTTGTCTCTTCGGGAAGTTGGTTGCGAAAAAAAAAAGTTTCGCCTTTTGTCACGGCTGTGGGCGAATATTAGACCCTAACAGGCGTTTAGGGCCGGGGGCCAGCGCCCGATGCTGAGTGGCTGGCCGTCTGTGGCGGGGCAGCTCACCAGCCACCTGCCCGTCAGCTCCCCTGGGAGTCCACCTAAGTGCACGGGACCCTGCCATCTTCCAGTGGGAATCGCGATAAATGACGAGAACCTGGAAGCTCGGCACTCCCGGAACCGGAGCCACTGCTTCTTCCGAAAGCCTGGAAGTCCAGGCTGGTAATAAGGCAGAGGCACAGTGCTGGAAGTACCACTGATTCCCACCCCCAGGCCAGCAGATATAAACTTGCCAACTCCAACGCCACTTCCTTTTGTTTCCCCCGAAACCCAACTTTCGACTTTCCCGACAATCAGACGCCCGTTGCGTGTCCTCCGCGACCATCGCCTCATTTTTCGCGATTTTTCCACCCGCGACTCCCACGATTTCGGCCGACGTTCAGGCTCGCGTCTCTCCAAGTCTTTGGGGGCACTGGGCTCGCTGAATCGCAGAAAACTTGGGGTTCTCGCACTTTCCATACTGATGACTCAAGCCTCTGCCTAATGCATCCTGACGGCTGCTTCAAGCAATCTAGACCCTTGCTTGACGATACTTGGCTGTAATAGACCGTCAACATGCCGGTAAGTTCAATGGGCACGCGACCTCCTGCGATTTCCGCTTCGCAGAAACTCATTTGGCCGACGAACGCTCACCCCCTCTCCCAGATCGGAGATCTTCTCGCCCAAATAAGTGGCGATAAGTCACAGAGCACCTCTCCGGCGCCGACACGACCGGCCATCGCTGCCGCCCCGAAACGAAAAGCAGACGATGATTTGCGCAGTACCGTTTCAAATAAGACGCCGCGAACCAGCACCACCGCGCCCAGTTCGTCATCAGCTTCGAAGCCCGCTAGCGCCCCGAGACCCGCTTCGCGACCGGCGGAAAAGGCGACGACCATTACCGGCTACCGAGGCAGCGCAGCCCGACCCTCAGATCGAACATCATCAACACCCAAACCCCTGGGCAATGGCACATCATCAGCGAAGCCCAGCACCTCCAGTGCGCGACCCCTAAACGGGTCTGGTGCATCGAGGCCCACCTCCACTCTGCCCAGCCGACCATCACCCGCCCCTCCAAAGGATGGTGCAGCCCCGAAAAAGGGGTCTTTTGCTGAGATTTTGGCGCGTGCCAAGAAGGCTCAAGAATCGATGGGCCAAGTCGGAAAAATTCAACACAAGCCTGTTGAGAAGGTTCTCACCAAGAAAGAACGTGAGGATTTGGCGTTACAGGCAAAAAAGGATGCAAAGGCGGCAGCGGCCAAGGGCGGAGCTGCGAGACAACCGTCAAAGTTCCAGGGCACGTCCAGGCCATCCTCAGGTGCCCCGGCACGCAACGGGGCTGGTACCAACGGGTCCTCCAGGAATGGCGCGCCTGACCGAGCAAAGGACCCTCGAGCTGCAGCAAAGGCACGCGCTGCTGAGGAGGAGCAGGAAAAGAAGCTCAAAAAGGCAGCCGTGGCGACCACAGGATACACTGGCACTGCCCGCCCGAGACCCGGTGCAACCTCAACGAAGAAGAAGCCAACTCCCGGCGGTGCCCTCCTCAATAGTCGCCCTGCACCACGCTATGGCGGCTCCGCGAGAAGGTCTCGCTACGAAGACGAGGAAGACGAAGAACTCGACGACTTCATCGAGTATGATGACGAAGAAGACGATGCTGGTCCCCGTTACACCTACGACTCGGACGGCTCTTCAGACATGGAGGCCGGCATGGACGACGTATGGGAGGAAGAGCAGATGGCAGAGCGTGTAGCTCGCAGAGAGGATCTCGAGCAGGAGAAGCTCGAGAAGCGACTCAAGGCTGAGAAGGAAGAGCGTAAGCGCAAGTTCTACGAGCAGCAGCGTGGACGGCGTTAGTCACGAGCCCCGGCGCTTCAGACGGTATCACAGGGGAACAGGAACCTGGGCACTAAGGGCATTTGCACCGGTAGGCGCGGCGCGGCAGCATCACATTAGCGACGGCGTTACTGTATTTGTTTTGTCATCATTGGGTTAGGGAATTACTCACGGCACACACGGCCGACTTCATTTGGCGGTTTTCACCTTGCTTTCTTCTTTCGAGAGAAAGGTATAAACATGCCACGCGCGCAAGATGATACCTCAGGGGCCAACAAACATTAGCCTAATATTATTACGTCTGTGCCAGTTACTGGTCAGAAACAAGCTTAAGGTCCCAGGGGGAGGATTGGTGCTGAAATACCTGACAGAATGCCGAGAACTTGGCGGCTCTGTAACAGGAGAGTCCCTAGCAAGAATCACGTAATGCGTTTGCCCGTTTGATAGGAAAAGTAGATTGTCTTACGTAGTCAGGTTATTGGGTAGTCAGAAATAACCTATTGTTAAACCACAGGGCCACGTCGTCTTGGTGATGTTGCTCAAACGTTATGTAATCCTTGTATCAATCTATGGGAGCCCCAGTGCCATAATCCATGGGGTATCAAATCTACCCGTTCCATCGCATGATCCCATCCCCCAACGCCAGCTTTCCAATGTTGCCCAAGATTCCACAAGATACCTGCTGTGAGCCAGTGACCGGAGCTACTAAGCTCCGCTCTTCCGCAACTGATAACTCCGATACGTGATGTTGAACCAGGCTGGCGACGAACGACTGCGGCAGTAGGTCATCCGGTCCGCACGTCGTTTGTTGTTACACGCGATCTATGACCGCAAACTTTGCGCCCTGTAAGCCTTTTGGCTAACAAGGGAAGAAAAATAAAGCCAGAAATGCAACCGTCCATGTTGATGGCAAGCAAAGATGGGGAAAGAAGGTATAAGAAGGCGGCAGGAAGAAATTCTGTCACCTGATTTGTGCCTCCTGTTTAACACCCGAGTGGGAAAAGGAACAAACAAATGCAAATGTTGCTGGTGTTGCGGCTGCAAATTGCTTTTCAAGGATAACTTCTCCGCGGAGGCGAGAGACCCTGGAGGAACACTGCCGCCCACCAAACTCTGGCGGACGAGGGACGGGTTCTCTACTGTGACAAGCGGCGCACAACTGCTCAGCGTCTTGACCAGGCCCATGTGTCTCAATAGTAGTCAGGGGCTCTGCAATCCTATGGTAGATCTTCCGACTTGAGACCTGAGTTCCCATATCCACTCAGATTCCAGCCTTTGTATCGAACTGTAGAACCGCCGCTGCCAGAGAGTGAGGAGGGAGGAGGATTGTGTGGAGGGAGCCCATTGTGATGCTTCATGGGCGGTGGTGGGAGTGAGGCTGGTGCAGCTGGCAGGCTGCTTTTCTGGCCAACGGGAGCATGATGGCCGTTCGTACCGTTGGATGTGCTCTGCTCTTCATCCTTCATAAGGCCCTTTTCTCGCAGATACTGGATTGACTGGAGAACCGTCAAATCCTCTTGGTCCTTGTCGTTGAGGATCAAGCGCTGCTGGATGGTAAGTGCCCCGTTGTTCGCTTCCCGCTCTTTCATGGCCGCCTCTCTGACAGCGGGATCGTGGACGAAACGGCACTTGCCCTTCTTGCCACACGTACCTCCCGTCGAGTAGTACTTGCAGTGTTTCGTAACATCTGCCTTCTTAGCTGGCGGGGGTGGTGGGGGGGCTTGCTGAGCACGACTAGACGCGACTTCTGGCTCGTCGTCTTCAGACTTAATTTCAACGGGGGAGCTGTCTCTCATCTCATCACCCTCGTCCTGCTGTTCACGCTTGCGTTTGATGGACGACTCCACCTTTTCTAGCTGTTTTCTCAGCTTGATAGCGAGGTATTCTTCCTTCTCTAGAGCGGCAGCAAACTTGTGGCTGCTTCCGTGTGCCACCTCGGCAGACTTCTTTGCCTTAACTCGTGCGGCCGTGGGGAAGCGCTTCTTCCGCTCGGCGATATAGGCAGCAACATCAGTGACCCTACGCATTCCATTAGCGGACCATTAGCTTGTTGTTTATTTCCCACTCACTGTAAAGCATCGGCGCCGATCAGCTTGCGAAGAGTCTCCTCTTCCATCTCATCGTCTTCAGAGTCCGAGTCTTGGCCTGGCGTAAGACCCAACGTGTTGGTCTTGCGCTTCTTCTTCTTACCAGAAGCGGCGTTGTTGTCATGCTTGTGGAACCCTCCATCTTGACGATTATTATGATGATTTCCTTGCTGGCGGTGACGGCTTCTATCGTTGCCGTGTTGGAGGCCTCCACGGCCTCGCGTGTTGTTCCCGCGGAATCCACCTCGTCCACGACCGCCATGTCCATCATGCTTGTAGTGTGGCTCGTGTGTTGGGCCGGAAGCATGAGGAGCAGGCGGCGGAGCGTGGTAGGGATACTGGGTAGGAGGCGCGTACGAAACCGGCTGGGCGCGAGGGTCTCCGTACGGTTGACCATATCCACCATTCACTTGATGCTGGATCCCTTCGTTGCCGTATGCCGCAGGCGCTGGTGTACTCATGTTGGGAGCTCGCGAGCCACCTCGATCGTTGCCGTATCCGCCGCGGCCGCGGCCGCCACTGTAATGGTTCTGAGCGTGTTGATCATGACCAGACCATTGTTGGGGGGCACTGTATGGTGCAGGATGTTGGTAAGGTTGCCCATACTGTTGCTGCTGGGGAGGCCCGTATCCTGGCTGGTGAGGAGGCGGTTGGGCATGTTGAGGATGGGAGTAAACTTGGGGAGCGTAATTGGGATGGTAGTTGGAGCTGGATAAGGGAGCAGGAGCGTGGGCGCCATGCTGAGGCGTAGGATGGGCGTGATCGTGGTGCCACTGCTGCTGGGGAGGATAACTGCCGCCCGTGGGCTGACCTGCGTACGCAGGGCTGTGTTGGGGATAGGGCTGCTGGCGACCGTACTCGTACTGAGGCTGAGGAGCAGGCGGGTATTCGGGACGACCGCCAGACGTATAACCACCACGGCCACCTCGGCCGGGAGGAGCACCACCTCCTCTAGGGTGTTGTTGATAGGGGCCGCCGTGATGACCGTATCCAGGATGGCTCGCTTGTGCCGCCTGGGGAGGAGGTGGCGGCGGGCCGTAGTTGTAGCCGGACATCTTGGCTCGGCAACGTTGAAGCTCGTGTCTCGAAGGCTCGGCTCGGGTCTTCTCCGTTGTGATATTTACGGGATGTTCGATGATAGAAGGAGACAGGTCGACCAAGAGACTTGATGGCTCCGTACCAGATTGCTTCTTTCGAAGGTGAGCGCTTGCGATCGTATGCAGGGAGGAAGGGGGCAAAAGGGTGATGAGGTGCAAATAGATATCAAAGAATGAATCTTTTCTGGCAGCAGGAGGACAACCTCGGAACAAGACACCTCGCAAGGATGGAATGCAAAAAGAAGGAAGCGCGAGGCGGGAGACGCAGCTTGATGCAGACTGCAGGTTCCCTGACGCGAAGCTGAAGCAGAAGGTGGAGCCCAGCAACTTTCTTCCTTTCTGCGGGCAGAGTTCCAGGCTCTGTCCTGGCTCAGGGATGTGGTTTCGGTGGCCGCAATAACTGTTCTAGCGGGTCGAGTAACCTTGGGAGTGTCTTATGGCTGCCTTGGGGGCGCTTTGGTCCGCTGAGCCGACCCTTGGCTAGGCCAGAACCAGAGGGCGGTGTGATAGCGGATGTCTTTTCCAGCCAGGCGCCCCGCGATTTTGCCGATTTTGCGATTTCATAGAGGGCCAGCGACTCACCTGAAATTCCTTCCTTGAAAGGCGCTTTCGCTTCTAATTGAGCCCTCCTACGAGACGACGATTTGAGGGTCTCCATTTTTCAATTTTGTCTTTTTAATCGTCCAGCGGCCCTTATCGCGAGCAAATAATTGCCCAACATGTTCATCCTAGTAGGTTTCGATCCTGCAATTTTCACTTGGATGTATCACTAACACGGCCGCAGACCAAAATCGCCGATCTAGTCGAGATCGCACCAGAGGATTTCCGCAAGAAGAGCGGTACCGCAATTGAGGACAATATCAACGCAAAGTACGCGAACAAGGTTATCCAAAAGATTGGCCTCTGCATATGTCTCTATGACCTCCTCTGGACCTCAGAAGGACTCATCGGCCACGGCACCGGCCTCGTCAACGTCAACGGTATGTGAGAAATGTGCTCGGGAAGAGCGCATGCCTAACGTTCTTCTAGTTGAATTTAGAATGATCGTCTTCAGACCGTTCAAGGGCGAGGTCATGATTGGCAGGATCAGGAGTTCTACGCCAGCCGGCATCAACCTGAGAACCGACTTTTTCGACGACATTTTTATCCCCTTCGATGAGCTCCCCGAGGGTGCCGAATAGTGAGTGAAAGTCACTCATGATATCAAAGCCCAGTCTGGACTAACTTGTTCCAGCAACCACTCGGAGCAATTGTGGATCTGGAATATTGAAGGCGACAGACTCTTCTATGACAACCACGAAATGGTCAGATTCCAAGTTATTGACGAGGAGTGGCACGACCAGACGCCTGCGGGGCCAAGTCAAGGAGAGGAGGCCGCCCCGCCAAAGCCACCATACAAGGTGAAGGGCACGATGGCGATGGAAGGTCTCGGCGTGTGTCTCTGGTGGGATGGTCAGGGCAGCGAGTAGTACTTGGGCGGTCCTTGATTATCTCACAGGCGATGCATTGATTATTTTACGGGAAGAAGATAAAGACCTGGAAGGCGCATGGGCGGCACGGATATGTACATTGTTCTACAATTCTATAACTTGATACCCGAGAGCAGTCTTTGCTCCACATCATCCAGAACTGAGTAGTGGTCAACGACGGCAATGTTCTCGGCCTCGCCCTTGAACTGCTTGTCGGGGTCAACACCGGGCCCAAACATCTGGGGGGCGCCCTGGGCACCTCCCATCTGTCCCATTTGCTGGGCCATCTGGTTGGCGGCTGCTTCACGTCAGTATCCCACTTTTTAGGAGCCCTTATCGAGACTAGCTTACCATTGTCACTTCCCAGAATGAAGTTGAAGACAGATTGTAAACCAAAGATGCAGAGGAAGTACCAGCTGATGCTAGACATCCATCGGGGATCCATGTCCTTGGTCGCGACACCAGCCTGGAGCATGCTCTTGAACTTGATGGTGAGCGGGAACGGCAGCTTCATGATGACGTATCCGCTGAAGAAGGCGTTGATCCAGCTCATGATCAGCGTATTGGGGATAATCATCGCCATGTTGTTCTTCATCATGCCCATCATGCCGTCCATCGCACCCGGGTCCGTGAGCGGGTTCGCGGGGGGTTGGCCCTTGCGATCGGGGTCCTTGAGGTAAGCACCAGACTCATACGCAGCAACAAGCGTGTCACGGCGCGCCTCGAATGACTTCTTCGACAGGACGTGGTGGTTCGTTCGCACGCCGACGCCATGCATCATGGCGCGTTGCTCGCGGAGAGCAGGCTTGTCGAGCTTCTTGGGCGGGGTGGCGAGCATGACCGAGGCATAGTGTCGCAGAATACCAGTCAAGATCATGACCACGGTAATCGGGAACAAGATCCAGTAACTATTGCGTTGCTTCGATTAGTCCCTACATGCCGAATGAACAATTGGCGGTAGATACGTACAACAACTGGGGATCCCGATGGATCGTCTGCACCGGAACCTGGGCCATGGCGGACGTGATTGACTCGGAGCGCCGGGCAGGATGATTCGAAAAGATTGTGATGACGCTTGTCGTTCCAATTACGGCCTGGCGGTTGCGAGCTGATGGTCGACGTTGCATCATCTTGGTGGAGAGCTCCTGTCGGAAAAAGAGTTTTGGCGGGGCTCCGAAAGACCACCTTCCACTTTCACTTTTCGACAATGGATTCACGCAGGGGTCCAAGCTGTCCTAGCTCCGAAAGCCAGGCTGGAGGTTACAAGACATAAAACGAACCCAAATCCCATGCCCGCCATACCACGAAGCAGCGGACACTGGAACCGGATCACTCTACCCCGCGCGCAATTATTACCAAAATGTCGTCCTCAGAAAGAATAACGGTCCACAACTTGGCCGGTACGTTTCTGCCATTTTTCGTGCATCTTTGTCGCATCCGCACTAACAGCTTACCCCAGATCTCAAGAACACCTCGGACGATGCGCTCCCCAACTACCTCAACTCCCTCAAGTTCACCCAGTCCCACACCTTGACCGATGTCCGTCTGGGCCTCGGCTGGGGCGCGTTCCTGATCGCCGCCGCTTGCTTTGGCTGGGATTACAAGTTCGGCTTCGACGCGACCAAGTACTGCACTGCGGCCGCCGTGGTCGTCTACTCGATCCTGAACGGCGCTCTGACGCTATGGATCTGGCTCAAGGAGGCGGGCACCGTATACGAGGGCACATCGCCGTCGGGTGAAAAGGTAAGTGCCAGCGTCATCTCCATCTGCAGCGTCGGATCCTTGTCTACGAACCCAATGACTTACACCAGCTGGGACAGATCAACATTGCAACCTCAACAAAGAAGAATGTACCAATTTACAACATGAAGATCACCATCACACCCAAGAACGGCGCAAGCAAGACTCTCGAGCTTGCGAAGCCCTTTAACCAATGGTTCGACTCTCAGGGCCACTTCGTCGCTTCGCCATTCCAGGAGATCCTCGCTACCAACATCCCCACCATTGGCAAGCTTGATCCTAAGCGCGTTCAGTCCACCTCCCAAACCTACTCTGCCGACGTTCTCGACGCTCTGTACGCCGAGAGCACCGCGACGGGTAGCGGAAGCGGCGCCGAGGCAGCGGCCAAAGGATCTAGCAAGCGACGCAAGGCGTAGATAGTCGTTCGGCTCTAGTCAGGGATTCGCTCTACACTTCTTAAATGCTGAATCGTCTTGTAAAGTAACCAAGGGCTTTGAGAGGGGCAAAAAGCATGCGATTTTATTTCCATCGTTCCGCAGCTGTGCAAACAGCGTTGGATGACCCTGATCTCATTATATCTGGTTCTAATCTAAGTGTGATTTAAGCCCCTGAACGCCTCGCCATGCCGGCATCCCCTCAATGACAATGTCTATATGCATATCCAGGTTGCGCCGTACACGCGTCTTTTCCAGCAGAACCCGCCCGCTTATCCAAATTACACATCCGGTCTCTTCTTATTTGACCTCTGCCCAAGCCGCACGTGCAACAAGAGCAGCCTTCCGAACCTCCCGCACTCGATCACCCGATGACTGCGACAGTACGCGACGGACATGTGCCGCAGAGTCAAGCAGATGACGGTCCTCGAACTGGGGAGGCAAAAGACCCAGGAGACGGACGACGAGATATCGGCATTGCGCCTGGCTGATGTCCGAATGGTCGAACGGCATATACCCGGCCGGCATCCACGCTGAATCCTCGCTCTGGGAGCCGCCTCGGGTGTAAATAGAGATGCAAGCCTCGATGATGCTCTTAAGGAAAGGCTTGATGCGTTCAGGCGATCTCTGGGCGATTTCCTCCAAGACCTTGAGACCTGCTTGCACATCTCCACCAGAGGGCAGGTAGCGGACAGCGCAAAGCACGAGTCTCACCAGATCCTCTGTATCGTCCTCGTAGATGTTGAAGGGGAGATGCTTGACAGCAGCAAGAACAGCAATACTATAGTTTGCAGCCACCAGCATGTCCTCGGAACTATTGGAACCAGCGGGCCAAGCCTTTGCCAGCATGGGCTTGATCAACTCGAAGTAAGCCCTCTGAAGCCACAAAGGTTTGGCTTGTCCATAGTACTCCTTTGCCAGACAGCCATAAGGAGAGAAAATGATCTCAAAGTTGCGGGCAAGAATGTGGCCAGTCTCCTTGTTGGCAGGGCCGAGTTGGATAGCCGAAAGAACCTGTTTAAAGGCATTACCTGTGTACCTTCGAAGAACACCCGCAGTGATAGCATAGACAGGCCTTGCCAGGTTAGCCCGCGCCTGAGCCGGGGTTTCTCCTGGGATCCTCTTTGCCTCGTGCTCAAGGAAGCCAGTTTCGTTCTCCGATTCCTCTGACAGACTTCCATCGCCAACAACAAACTTCATCTGTTGCTCAATCATTGCCACTATCTCGCTCAGCTTCTCGACTGGATACTTGTTGGCAAGAATCGTCAGGATATGAGCGACAATGTGGCGTGAACGAGGAGAAGCTGAATGATCGCGGGACAGTAGACCTGCAATTAGAATCTGGTGGGCTGTTCCTCTCTCGACCTGGGACGTCTCAGTGCACCGTTTTCCAAAAGAAACTCGGAATAAACTTACCAAGCGTTGAATAGCTGTGGGATGCAAGGGCTGAACAATACCCAACGAGAGTACAACAGCACGGCCTTGACTGAAGCCACTAATAGGAAATTTGGGGGGATCGCGCATGCTGTAAGATTTTGCTGGGCTGACAGTTCGCAACATGGCATCTCGCAACTGAGCATTGGCCCAGGGGTGTGCATGAGTAGGGTCGCTGTGCAAGTATTCGTCATCGCCGCGGAAGAGAGTTACAACCTCTTCATTGAGGAGCAGCGCAGTCTGCTCCAGTTCATTCATTTCCCGAATGACAAAGGAGGCCATGGTGCTGATATAATGCAGATAACAGTCCTCAAAGTTGCGCGCGTCAGGGTCCTTGTTCACAAAATCGGTACTTAGCTCAAGGGACAGCTCAGTGTCATCCGCGTAGCTGACGATCCTCGTCGCCCTTCTGTAGAGTTGTCGTACCACAAACAAACTGATCAGAGTAAAATCTCCATGGAGCTCATCGCTAGCGTTCTCCAGAGGTTGTTCTTTGCTGTCAACATCCATAGCGTCAACAGCAGCAACCGAATCGGAACTCTCGCCATCAACACGGGGCAGCTGGGGGTATCGAGCTGCTACATAGTTGACCCACGTCTCGGGGTGGAAGCGCTTATCTTTGAAGTTGAGGGCGCTGGATCGGGGAACGAGTGCATGGATAGCATCTCTGTAGTATCTCATCGTCATCTGAATCCCAGATGCGAATACTGACCAAACCTGGGGAGGTGCCTTGATGTCAAGCATAGACTGCAGGTTCTTCAACAGTACACCGAGTAGAAGGATGTAATTGCCGAACTTGTTTGCTTTGCTGGGTACCTGAGAGCAGCTGATGAAAGCTAGCTTAGGAATGATCTGCTCAAGAGTTCCGATCAAGCCAGTGGCCGACGTCTCAGGAGAAGCAAGATACGGCTCGCATACTCTGAAGCTGTCCTCGACCAGTTTTTCCAGAGCTGGCGGGTAAGCTGTGGTTGCCTTCTGGAGAGCAAGCACCGCTTCGTCGGCTATATTAGCCTGAAGCTCGTCTGTAGCGTATCTCTCTGGCGCCTTGAGGATCACACTTGCTAGATCATCGCAAATCTCGGACAGAGTGGCCTCTGGAAGCATAGGCTGTGTGGACAATTCTGTCTGAGCGGCGCGCTGGCATACCATGAGGCCCATACCCTTGATAGCTTGCTGTCCGATGGCGGTTTCTTCCTTCTGTGCACCGTCTTGGATTGCTTGTTGAAAGGGAGGCAGATATGCCTGTTTGTAGAGGGGTGCAAGCATCGGCTCTGTTGCCTTGAAAGCAGCTGCGTCGTCAACGGACAGTTCCGCCCCGCCACCGATAAGAGCTTGTCTCAATTCAAGGAGAGAATTGAGCAAAATCAACAGATTTTTGGTGTGTTCGGGTGACTTCGTGTGACGAAGATTGTCCTTGACATGGGTGATGGAGGGAGCGATCATAAGAGCAAACGCTGAGGGCTTCGCGCTGTGCACGCTGATAAGCAGTTTGCCTGAAGCTGCCGTGTATATCGGGTTGGCGAGGTCTTCCAAGCAGTCTCGCTGGACGGTCAGGGCGAAGTCTCTCAGCTCGTCACCTGAGAGTCTCTTGGCAATGGTACGAATGACCTCGAGCGTAGCGTTGATCGTGTCCTCAATTTCTCCGTTGCGTACCTCGTACTTCAGACTGCCCCAGATCTTCTCAACGAAGGGCGTAATTCCTTGCTGGACATGCTCATACTTCATCAGGCAGGCGGTCAGCGTTTTGAGAATATCAACCTATGTCACTGTCAGTTTAGCACGGTCGCACTCCCGAAATGGCTACTCGCCTTGACATTCACAGTCACACTATCTCCTTGATCGAGCCTTCCAATTAGATACGGGATCGCCTTGCTTGCGACCCGATGGTGCGCAGAGAAACATTCTCGCAGTGCAGACTTGAGGTCATCTGCGGTGATACCAGATGGATGTTGCGATGCTCTCAGTGAGATTGGGAAATATGCTGAAAAAATGCCGAAAATCTCGTCCACGAGCTCTTGTGCAGGGGAATAGTCGGCAAGGAATGTCTTGAGGATCTTGAACCAGATCATCAAGCATTTAGGATCTCTCTCGTTGCGGCAAAGCTGTAGGAAGTCCGTTATGAAGCCGGTAGTAGCGCCGTGCTGGTACTGCAACTCGCTTGCAACATCGGGGTTGGTGACGAGATGGTCCAAGAGTTCATACACCGTGGCGCGAGTCTCTGCAACCTGATTTTTGAAGTCATCACCGAGACTGCAAATACTCTGAATGATGTCGTTCCCTTTGGAGGGCTGAAATGCCTTCATACTGGTCGTTCGGTCGAGTGCTTTGGCGGCTGGCATAATGCCTGCTTTGTGATCGACCTTGAACATGCTGCCAAAGAATGCAACAAGGAGATTCACTGCAATGACTGGTCAATGGAGATTCCCATTGTAAGAGCAATATCATTCACCTTGATCTGCCTTCAGAAAGCCGGGGTCCAAATGTTCCAATGTCCCTGCCAGGAAGCCAAGGGCTAAACCAGGGTTAGTATTGGCCTACAGCGTACTACCGGGACGAGGGCCTTCACCTTTGGAGCGGGCAATGATGTCGCCACTTGACTCTCCATCCTCGCTGTCTTCCATTTGGTCGGCATTGGCATTGGGCATCCACGGCCTGATGGACTCAACCCATCTCGCCACAGGATTGCTGGGTCTAGGTGCTGATTGTATTGCTAGAATCAGGGATCAGCACTCTGCCTGTCTAGGGGCCTTGGGTCTCAACGTCTGATAGGACTTACCTGAAGATGCTTCCTTGGTGATCGATGCATGTCTCTTGAGGTCGTCGCTGAGGACATACTCTAGTGCCAATTTCCTGAAATCTGCCATGATACCCAGCCTCTTCAGGCACTGTGTTGTTTGCGATGATGTCTTTTTCGAAGGCCCTAAGAGCAAGTGTATGGCTGAAATGTTCAAGTTGTGTCTCTGCTGATGTTTTTTGTAGTTGAAGAAGGGAAGTTGGTTGGGGAAAAAGTGAATAGTGAGATTGGGCCGTTGGAATCAAAATCAGAAGTTGCGATGCGCACCCGCACTTGGCTATGAAGTACACCCCGCACCTGCTCAAAATGGTGGCCGCTTTCAGGGGTTAGATACAAAACTTCAGATCTCTTCCATCTGATGATCTAGAATAGACGAGGTAGGAAGGCGCGGGTAGGACTTTTCAGTGCACCAACAGGAAGGCTTCAAAACTTTTTCGTCAACTGATACTAACTTCACTTCACTGGCCGGCTTTCGGTGACAGGCTGTGAGATAATTACTCAGATGAGATGGTGGTGGGGGATATGCTTTGGGCAAGCGGTGTGTCTCTTATCAGGCTTATCGCGGCCTGGAGGAACCAATGTCCGATGACGGTGACTGTCCAGGATTAGCATGCCTCCTTCTAGTCCTTCGTTTTCCGGGATTTCTTGAGGTTTGACGTTGAGAGTGTACTGTGATGATATCACTGATTTACATGAAGTAAAAAGAATTATCCAAATATCATCTACCATCGTAGAATCTCTAAACAATCTTGATAGCCTTTCATTTTCAAGTTGGAAATGAACAATTGTGACATTGCGCTAGACCTGATTGGGCGGTCAGTCTATGGAGGGGTAAATTTCAGCGCAGGGGCCGCGGGGTCCTGCGCCAGCAGAGAAAAAAAATTTGGAGGTCGAAGTCGGAGCCAGTGCCACTCCAAAATACTCATAGCCGTTCACGGTCATTTTACGGAACCATCTTTTTTCTCACTTCAACCGCGCCAATTCTGTCTTCTGGCCTCAAATCCTGGATCTGTGCCTCTCATTTCCTGTTCAATCCGCAGACCTCCCGCGCTTCTAGGCAGTCAGTTTCCCCTTTCCTCATTCATCTTACCCCAATAATGCGGCATCGCGGGGTCCAAGATGGTGGGGCTTTCAAGACGGCAGTACTAATCCGGGGATAGAAGCCGATAGGCACTCACTCAACCTCCAGATAACGGAAGTGAGTGATACCAATGACAATGGGGAAGAGAGCCCTAGCTGACGCGATATGAAGGCATTTCAAGTCTCCCGGAGATCCAGACTCAGCCATGGCGTCCGAAGTCCCCAAGACGTGCAAGGTCATTCTGGCCGACACCATTGCCAAGAAGCTCCTGGCTGAGGTTCATGAGACCCTCGCCAAGGTCCAGGGCAGCGGCGTCTTCAAGCCCACCCTCGTTGCCTTCCTTGCCAACGACGACCCGGCTGCTCTCCAGTACGCCGAGTGGTCTCAGAAGACCTGCGTAGAGAAGTAGGCCAAGCCCTGCCATTGCCCGCAAAGATGGTCCTTTTCGTCTTTGCAGGAGAGAACACACAAAACACGTATACACACAGAACATGAAAGGTGCAAAGGTGACTAACAAGAGCCTTCCCTTTCAGCGGCTTCAACTTTGACCTGCGTCGCGTCGACAAGGAGCAGCTCGAGGAGAAGATCCAGGAGGCCAACGAGGATGACAAGGTCGACGGCATCATCGTCTACTACCCCATCTTCCCCGGCAACCCCACGCACGACAAGTACATCCAGGAGACCGTCTCCCTGGCCAAGGACGTCGAGGGCCTCTGCCACAAGCACATCTACAACATGTACCACAACGTCCGCTTCCTCGACCCGCCCCAGAACCTGCGCAAGTCCATCCTGCCCTGCACGCCCCTCGCCGTCGTCAAGATCCTCGAGCACCTGCAGATCTACAACCCCATCCTCGCCCCGGGCAACCGCCTCTTCGGCAAGACCATCACCGTCATCAACCGTTCCGAGGTCAATGGCCGCCCGCTGGCCGCGCTGCTCGCCAACGATGGCGCCACCGTCTACTCCGTCGACATCACCGGCGTCCAGCTCTTCACCCGTGGCCAGGGTATCAAGCAGCCGCGCCACCAGGTCACCAACAAGGAGGGTTGGGGCCTCGAGGAGGTTCTCCCCATCAGCGATGTCATCATCGGCGGCGTCCCCGCCGAGAAGTACAAGATCAGCACGGATCTCATCCGCGAGGGTGCCGTGTGCATCAACTTCTCCTCGTTCCGCAACTTCGATGCCCCCACAGTCAAGGAGAAGGCCGCCATCTACGTCCCCTCCGTCGGTAAGGTTACGATCGCCTGCCTGCTGAGAAACCTGGTCGTAAGTGGCTGCCCCGCCCGATACAGATCAAGCGAGTTTACTGATTTTGCTGCAGCGCCTCATCGCCAACCGCCCGACGACCAAGGACAACGGCAGCGAGGACGCAAGCACCGCGCAAGCCAGAAGCGAGGCCTTCACCGAAGGTTAGATTTGAGAATTTTGGAATTACACCAGAAGATCCCGCAAGGGAAGACAATATTGCGTAGAAAAAAGTTACACGGTTTGGACAAAAAAGGCATTTTGATTGTTTATACCTCGTTTGTCATACGGGAGGATCACTGAGGCTTGCATTACGGGCGAAAATCAAAGAAAAAGCATACAAGACATGGGTTAGCCGGAGATATTTCAACATAGAGCAAGACACGCACAGTCGTTTGTGTCGTTGTCAGAGGGATTGCTGTTTTGCATTGAGATCCGTCGGGTTTGCATGAGGGAACCGAGTTAGAAATCGTGTCATGAGTAGAGATACGGAATGCTTATTCCATGCAGCACTATGCGGAATCGACTGTCGGGGGTGATGATGTCTGGTCTGAGACGCAACCGAGCCACAATCAAGCGGGCTGACACTCTCTTGTTGCCTACAGGCTTGCAGACGATGAATCCGAAGGGAGTTGTCCAAGGCTCATGTGTACAGGAGCAGGTTCGCCAAATAGCCCGCGAAGGCTGATTTCACGACCCGATCATTTACCGAGAGATCCAGCAATGGGGTTCCAGAAGGCAGACTGCTGCACTTTGCGAACTACAGGCCGGACCGAGTTCGGAGAATAACAAGACCTTTAAATAAGAAGGGGCTCAGCCAAGGCAAAGACCAAGACCAAACGAGATAGGCGACGAGATCCGGGCGCAAGCCGCAACCGCCGGCGCGTGCCTTTGATGTGCTGGAAGACATAACGACGTCGCGATCTTTTGTGCGTCAACGCGGCATCGCTTCTGCGGGATCAGAGGACGATCAATCCGTGACTGAAAGACGGACATTTCTGGGACTGCGCGGATGGGACGAGAGCCTGTTTCGGGACGGTGTTCGCGCGCGCTTCATCCTGAGATTTCTCACATTTCCCCACGTCGGGCCGGGAGGGTGCGCCCACACTGGCATTGTCCAACAGTTTGAGCATTGCAAGGATGGCGCCGTTTGGGTGGAAATCGTGAGATCGCATCCGATTGCATGCGTAGATTGGTTCGGCATCGCAAATCAATGCGAGGAGCAGAAAATGACCAGATAAACGAGGTGCTAATGGGTATAGTCAAGGAGTTAAGAGCCAATTCTGGTAGTCTGTAGCAGATTGACACCGCACAGCGTCATCGGATGAGTGATTGGGGATTGGGGGAACGGCAGGCCAAGAATGTGAGTTCGTAAGGTGACATTCGTATCTCGAATTGTCCTCAGAGTTCAACAAGTCCTTTGCTCATGCGAATGACGAATTGCGATTAGTGACTGGTGTCTCTGGCGCTTGTCTGGGCCTAGGCGCGTTACAGGCAAATTCCGCCAGGGTTGAATGCAACACAGTGCATCCAAGAGACGACCGCAAGCGACGGTGGTACCGAGGACAGCAACGAGGCGGCACGTCTGCGAAGGAGCTGCAAATTGCGAAGCATTCCAGAAGGCTCGGGCACTTCGTCTCGGTTGCGCCGTTGATGGTGGTTTTATTGAATTGTAGCTCCACCAATGGCTGGGTATTTGGATGAATGTGTACAGTCGCAGCTCCAGACTGCTGGGAACCTACCTAACACTTGTGAAGTCGACTGCCACGACTCCACGCGGCGCCCGCTCGCTGGCCACGAGTAGTCCGTCAGTTAGTCACATGCGGCCACCTCTTGGATTGCTGTGGTCGTTGAGTTGAGAGCGGTTAGTCTGCAGAGCGTGCGTAGTGCAGCGTCCACGTTGAACAAAGGGCCGAGAGCACTTCTGCCCATCTCCACAAGTCACGGGCGAGGTTGCGTTGAAGCTTATCCCCAAAGTTACCGTGCCAGGCCACCACCTTGGTCAGACGTGTTCGTCTCGAGAATGAGATTGATTGGTGACGGCCGCGGAGCTGTGGATGGCACATTGGCCACGGATCAAGGCGTTCAGTGTGGCTACGTATGGATACCTGCTCGATCAGTGTAGTGTTTCCGTGAGAACGTCCAGCGAAATTGGGGGCGCCCACTGAAGTGATGCAGTGTTGGGTCTTGCTGCAAGCTGCCCTGGGAATCGTGAGGTCCATCAGGGTCTGCATGCGGAAGGCTGGCCAATTGCCGAAATCCGCCTTACAAGAGATGCTAAGACTCCACCGTGCGAGCGTCCAGTGCACGCGTCGTGCTGAGAGCTGAGAGCTGAGAAGTGTTCTTTGAGGGAGAGGCGTTGGAAATGACGGGTTGCCGCTGAATTCGGGCGCGCCACGCCTCCGATGAGATTCAATTCAAGGCTGCACCGACTTTGGTTGGAACTTGGAACGGTTTCTTTCGTCTCCCCCCAATGAAGCCCGTCGCTGGAGCTGTACTCCCGGCGCGGAGCACACCCGCTGGCCAATGCTCGAGGAACACTTGAACCGGGGCTCTGCTTTTAATTAGCTTCGAGCTTGGGGTCCAATCAGGGCAGCTCTCAAACAAGTCCTTGGAGGATGGTGCATGCAGGGCAGAGGCTCCGATGCCCAGGGCTTGCAGAAAGAAACACCACGCTCTACGGCGGGCTGCCGCTTGGCCCAACGCAGACTAGACTGCTCAGGAACCCAGAACACTCACTCAACCCATGCAATGATATCGTCTTGCATTGGTGGTGGCTGCCCTCACTTCTCAGCAACTGCCCTGCAGCAGCAGAAGGACGGGCCCTAGGTCCCCCCTCCATGTGCGCAACCATGCAGCAAGCCACTGCAGCCAAGGGTGCCGTCCAGGGGGGACCGGCCCAGAACCAGGATCCGCGAACAAGGACTCTTGCTTTTGGATTGGAGCGAGAAATTTGAAAATTTTACGAACGGAAAGGGTTGCCAGACATGGGGAATGCCTGTCGAGCCTACGGGGAGGGAACCTGGGAATTAATAACCAACGGCACGAAGATGATGACTTGATGAAGCGAGAGAAAGAGAGAGAGAGAGGGACAGACACGACAGAGAAACTCCTTACAGCCTACTAGATATTAATGCTATCAAAAGCGTGCATAGGCAACGACACGGGTACCTTTACCTGCATGTGCGGCACGGCGGTACGCGACCTGGGCATAACACGCGAAAGAAGAGCCCCTTTCGACACGCAGGGAACGTCTTTCGTTGTAAGGTACCTTAGGTACCGCACCGCACCGCAGTACGAATAAGTGCTCAACTGTCGATTTGCTGCTGCTTGAGCCGTGCGTGTCGGGTCCTGTCGTGTCATTCATCACTTGCCTTATTCAATCGGCCTTCCGTCGATCCTTCCCAAAGTCAGAGAGCCTTCTCGGCAGTCACCCATCGCACTTGAACTTGCACTTGCGCACCCACGAACACTTTTCGCGGTCTTTCCGGCGTGGTCTAGCCTTCGCCAATCACCTCCGTCAAGCGTCAAGTCCGTCTGTCTGTCACGCCCGTCCGCTCCCACCTATTATCTCCCACCAACCCGACGGGACTCACCAAAGCAAGGTACCTTACCTACCTACCTACCTTCATACTCCTCCACGCGTTAAGGTACGGATACATCTGCACCTTCAACTGCCGCCGCAGGTCTCCAACGTCTGCAGCTCTCGAGCCCTTCTGCGGTCCTGCACTCGCTCATCCTGTACTCTTCACCGGCGACTTGTGCCCTCGAACCCTGGGCTGCTCATCTCCCGCAGCCTGTCATCTTATCTTCCTGGCCCAGGGCCGCCAGCCGAGATCAGCTTGCGAAAGCAACCCGGGAACAATCGTCTGTCCACCACCAACTTCACCCTTTCACACATTCACCTGCTTGTCAATTTTCTGTTCGTATTTCTCGCCTGCGCTTTGGTTTGCGGTTTGTGCAGTTGCGTCGCTCCTCGCTGCTGCTACTGCACCTCAGCGAGAGACAAGAACAGCCTCCAAAGCCGCCGGCTGCATGTCTCACGGCCTCCTTCCTGTCTTGATTGGTCGTGTAACCAGGTCATTTTAGACATCTTGCTGGATCCCGTTGCCTCTCCGCGTCCTCCACCGCCAGCTGCAACCCCTTAAACTCGTGGCCGTCGCAACGCAGCCAGCCAGACAGCAGTCACCTACCTTGGAACAATTCAAAAGAGGAGGGAAAGAAGGGGCCATTCGCCAGATTCGTCGACGTCAACCGTGCCTGGCCGTTTGTTTCCTGGGAATCGAATCCTCGATCGAGCGCTGAGCAACACCGAAAGCTTCTCAATCCGGCCGCCTCCCCGAACCCGGCAGCTCGTTTGTGCTTGCTTTGCGCATGCATACGCCCCAACCCCCAACGAACGACGTCTTTGCTACTGCAAACGGTCTTATCGTCGTTAATCCGCCTTCCACCTGGAGCGCCCAGCATATCTACGACACCACTATTTCGCATATCTAAAATCGGGCCCCGGACCTACTTACTTGGCCCTGCCAAACGACTCGATCTCCGCCCATTTTACTCGACATCTGCACGTTGCCTTTGAGCCTGTCTGCCCGTCATCTTCCGCGACGGGCTTGGAGCGTTTTTAGTTCCAACTGCTGGCACTGCAGCAAACTTGACATCTGCAGTTATCCCCGAGGAAACGGAAACCCGATCAGTCTTGTTCCATCCGAATCCACGACCGGACGGCCCACGGACCTGGCTGGACTTTGGGGGATCGGTTGAACCTTGCCCGAAACTTTGCTCAAATGCATTCGTCTCATCCGGAGTTCGTATACCAAGAATAATCACTCCATTGAGTTGCGTGCGCCACGAAGGAAGGACTCGTCGGTTAATTACAGTCAGCCCGCCCTGTTGGTTGGCGTCTGATTCGTTTCCCGTCCCACGACTCCACGGCCACTGTAACGACAATCAACGCCCGCGATCCAGGTAAACCGACGCGCGGGAGGCTACACCACGGGACCTGAATCGCTTGCAAAACTTGGCCAACCCAGTCCGCAATCATGGCGACGCAAGCTATTCACGCTCCCGCTCACAGCGGCCATGCTCATTCAAGCTCCACCTCGTCGTACCCCCCGCAGCCCGCCTCTCCTACTTTAACAAACCCGGACATGATTCTTCCCGACTATGATTGCCCTTCTTCCCCCGACCGGTCGCATTCGCCTCTGATGATGTGGAAGAACTCGCAAGCTGTCGACTTGAACATGCAATTCCAATTCCCTCCGAGTGCATACGTCGCCGGCCCCATTACCCCCGCGACACCAATCATCTATGGCAACGGTACCATGCTGTCAGATATCGGGGAGGTAACTGAGGCCGAGAGCACGCCGGGTAAGACCTCGCGTCCATCCTCTATGATCTGGACAGGGCGCGTCAGCCGGATTCCCGACGAGCGATTCCCCTCGCCGACGAAAGCGTACGAGAGCATCAAGCAGCGGGCGCGCGCGCACGAGCGACGATCCTCGGTCGAGTCCACGAGCACGATCACTACTACACAAGACCACAACGTGTTCGCCGACTTTGACGACGCTATCAGCGTAGATGATAGTAACTTCCAAGGCGACGATGAGGAGAGCGTCGCGGAGTCGTACACAGATGATGTGTCCGTTCACAAGGCCCATGCCATCTCTCAACCTACAAGGACATCTCTTAATGATCCAAATAGGTACTCAACCGCATTGATAAGCCGAAGGGCTGAGCAGATTCTTGCAAATGCCAAGCGTAGACTCACTGTAAGTGCCCTCGCGAGCATTGATCGGGCTCGACTAACACAGATAGACGATGGAGGGTAATCTGTCGAGAGCACGAAGCTCGTTGAGCATCTCAACACCCTCGATGTCTTCATTCGACGGCACCGGCTCCACACCGTCCCCGCCGATGATGCGATCTACTTCTTCCGCGACATCCCCGAGCTCTGCGCATGGGCACGCCCGAATGATGAGCGATTCCTCCATCAACACCGAGTTGGTGAACTCTGGTGCTGTCCCGAGGAGGTCTGCCAGTGCAATGGGTGCTGCTGGAGGTTATCGGCAGCCTATTTCTACGCGCAAGATCACCCATGATGCGGCTACGCTTGAGCGCTTGAACTCTGGGCGGGACAATCAGCCGCGTTACAAGGCGGCTCAGGAAATTGGCTTAGACACTCTAGGTGAGGATGAGGTATCCACGGAATTCCATTCCGGAAGCGATAGCACCACCAAGCGAGACAGTCTTTTAGGTCCTGCTCTGGGTGGCCCCACGAAGCCACCATTGACACGCTCTGCGTCGGCAGCGCAAATGCGCGATCTGAAGGATCAAGTGCTGGATCTTAAAGGCAAGATTTCATCCTTGAGAGAACAGGCACGGGTGGATACCATGCGCCGACGCAGCCTTCAGAGCTTGCGAACCCCCAGTCCCTTTACTCATGCCCAGGTTGACCAATGGTATGCCGGTTCTCAAAAGCAGTCTCCGACCGAGCCACTCACTGCGACGTCGGAATTGGCTCCATGGCATGAAGAACACGCGCCTAGCGTCAACGGCGAGATACAGACGAAAGAGACAGAGGCGACCCTCGAGGGGCCTCTTGAGGGTCCGATTGAGAACACCCTCGAGGACACCCCAGAGGAGCTTCCAATCAGGGATGATAAGTCGGTTGTTGGAGACTACGAAGCGGCGCAAGAGGCGGTTCGCCAAGAGGAGCGCCAGAAGGCCCTCGATGCGATGGAAGCGAACGCCCACGTCGAGCCTGACGATGACATTTCCGATATGCATACCGAGGATGGCTTTGAGGACAGTGTGCAGGTACAGGAAGAAGACGGATATGAGAGTGAGAGTGGAGACTCTCTGTACCACGACACCTACCAAACTCCTGTGTCACATGAAGACCGAGAGGATGCATTCGACTACGAGCACTTCTTCCTCCACAGCGCCATGGGCACTATCAGCCAACAACGGATGGCCCGACAGGGAAGCCGCCGCGGAAGTTTCAGTTCTGAGGACTCTGTCGAAACTACCCGTGGACCCATAACCTCCGACGAGTCGATCCGGCCCAAGCTCCACAACAGGCGAGGCAGCGGCGACACGACATCGACCATGGATTCCTTCGCGACGGCCAACTCAGGCCGAGCCAGTCGAGTCAGCGCCAGTGGTAATGAGGAAGACGTGAGACAAGGCGTTCTCACACCTCCAAGTGTGAGCCCTATCAGCGAGCGTACAGAGAGCCCCCCAACTGCCAAACGATCTGTTGTGGGTAGCATCAACGGCGGCGATGTGCTTGAACAGATGCGAACCAGGGCGCGCGCGGGCTCTATCGCTTACCGTCGCCCCATGAGCACTCAGGCCACGATGGGTCACCGGCCATCGACTGCGTCTTTCGACTCAACTGGGACTAATCGAAGCTTCCCGTTGGTTGGCAAGGCCCGTGTCAGCGTTGGTGGGGTCCTCACGCCACAGGGCTCTCCCGAACTGGAACTGCGAACCATTTCGGATGCTATCATGAGCGAGACGGCCAGCATCTGCGACAAGGAGAGCGTTGGAGGACCGGACCAGCTTGCGCCTATGAATCAGCTCGCCAAGGAGGACCAGATTTTGGTCGAACGCTTTGTGGCAAGCCTGGGACGTTGCGTCCTCGGTTTGAGTGAGTCTGGCAAGGCATCGGCAGAGAGCCGGATGTACAGGAGGCGCCTCGACACGGCGCGCAAGATTTTGGAGGGCATGGGTGAAACTTCATGAGGGGGGTCTTCTTTTGTTCAAACACTGTTTGGGGTATCTGGGTAACCACACAGCGGTAGGGCCGCATGGCGCGGCTACAGTGACTTGGTCAGGACATTGACATTTGGCGCGTCAAAACGAATAACTGATAATGTCAAATGAAAAAAGGCGGGAGGCTGCGGTTGAGAAGGGGTTGCCTGTGTGGTGGATGCTTCCACACTCGGCGCTGATTGACACGATTCCGTTTTCCTAGATTCGATACCCTTCTTGTACTTTTTTTTTTTATCTCCATCTCTCTCACGGCTGTGCATAAGCCATATTTTCTCTTCTTGTACCCCATTTTCCATCACAGATGGCGACACACACACATTTCCTTTGTTTAAGAGACAGTCTATGGCTGAGGGGTTGAACACCAGTGCTGGGAACGTGTATCAAGATTTGGTGTGGGCGACTGTCATCGACAACAGCGCAATTTGCAATTCATGTTTTGGCAGTTTTCTGCCGGAAGTTAGATGACGTCTTCACATGTGATGATGCATGGTGCTACTACGACTTTCGAGGTCTCTGGGAATGTATTGGGGAAGAGGCGATGGATCCGAGACCCGTGCGGAGAAGGGCGAATACAGAAGAAGCATGTGCTAGACAGCGAGTGATGTTTCGGTACTCAGAGACATCTTCAAGATGTGCCGCAGAAGCCTCTTGCCGGCGTCGATACACTCTCTTGGCTTCGATGTAAGATGGAGCATCGAGCCTGGGGAGGAGACTGGGATTATTATCGTACGGTCGAAGCCGAAGCTGAAGCTAGGACATAGCTTAAGCACAAGCCCATCAACATGACATATGAAAGTTTCTGTCTGCGTGCAACGTGACGAGTTTGTCGCTGTTTTGTTTACAAGGCATATTGGTTCAAGCCTATAAACCAGTCTAGTTGCTCCCCTATGTGATGAATGGGTTGCTTATCTGGTATTGCCTTCTTTTTGTCTTCTTATTGTTAAATCGGAGGAGGTGCAAGTAGCCAATGCAATCCCATCCAATCCTTTCAGCTGCCTACCAACCAACCCACATGTCCGGGACACCATCAGACAAAGACAGCCACCGTTATTGTTCCCCACTGAAAATAACACGACAACCACTGCTACCCCGACCGGGCTACACCACATATCGCCAACAGGCTCGTGCTCCAAGGGTCCTGTTCTTCCTGCGCGCGGCTACAACCTCACACCCGCATACCGCGACATTTTTGCTTTTGCTTTTGCTTGTACTGCTGCTGCGCCAAGTCTGCTACGAAGACAAGAGCAATCTGTTCACAGGCAGCCTTGCTGTTCAAATAAAGGCTCACACCTCCTTATTTGCAAAAGGATAGCCAACCGCCAGCAAAGTCATAGCAATACGCAGCTACAATCCAAAGAAGGAAAAGAAAAAAAAGAAAATCATACACACCCAACTTCGCGATAGGGGAGAGAGAGGGAAAAACAACAACAAAGCACCACGACAGCAGCAGCAACGACCCCACCGATCTCCCGTCAACGCATCCAGACACACCCGCGACAAATGTCCAAAATGGCCGAGCCCTCAGTTGCAAACTTCGTCCTCCGCTCCCTCCTGCCCCCAGAGGCCGTCGACTTCATCCACAAAAACGCCCTCCACCCCTCCTCGCCGCTCCAAGTCGCGCGCCAACACGCCGTCCTCGCCGCCTGCCGCGCCTTCGACACGCTCTACCCCTACGTCGCCCCGGCTGTCGACGCGACCCTCGCCTACTTGCAAGAATCCCCCGAGCTGGTGTCGTTCGGCATCCTGCTGATGCTGCTGGCCGCGACGGTCGTCGTGCTCAACTGGATCCGCCGCATCGTCGCCTTCTGGACGGCGCTGGTGCTCAGGGTGGCCTTCTGGGGCGCCGTCGTCGCCGTGCTGGCCGCCGTCGTGCAGAGGGGCGTCTGGGAGACGGCCAGGGACGCGGTCGTCGTTGGCGGCAAGGTTGTCGGCTTCGCGGCCGCGGTGAAGGACGTCTGGATTTCGGAGTATAAGAGATACGAGGAGGAGACGCAGTCTCAAGGGAGGAAATTCCGGTGAATGGGGAGATGGTGTCGCGGTAGGAAGGGTTTTGTGCAGAGTATGTTGGAAAGACGATACGCGTCCAGGCTGTCTTGCAGAGTCTACGACAGTGGAGATGGCGTGTCATGGAAGTCACTTTGGGAGGATACTCCAGATTGGGTATACAGGGCCCCCCGCACGAAGAGACGAAGCAGCATGATCGCAGCCGAGGACGACGGCACATGCGATACAGGATTACAGAGGAGCAACGTCTGGCCCACTTGCCAGACGGATACGATTATGAATGAGTCAATGTAAATCAATACCAACGCCAGCGCTATGCAAGCAGCCAAGTCCCTTTACTACGTCGCGACCTGTCTCGCCTCTCGACCCGTCTCCCCTCCTCTTATGGTATATTTTCTCCATGACCAAAAAATGCCCCAAACACACATGATCCTTATTCGTCGTTGTCCTCCTGAGGCTCGTACTCATCGTCGTGCATTTCCTTGGGCTCTTGCGCTTCGTGGTACTGGATGATATCGTCAATGTAGCTGAGAATGGCGCCCACGCTATCCTCGTCCGTGACGTCCAGCTTGAGGTAGTTGACCATGCTGAAGCTCTCAATCAGCCCGGCCACGGCCTTGTTCAGCCTCTGGAAGCTCTTGCCCCGCATGACGAGGTCGCGGTCGTGGACCTCGCCCCTCCCGTCGTCGAGCTCGCCCGAGGCCGCCGCGACGGGGTCGTCGTCGAGCAGGTCAGAGCCGGGCGTCAGGAAGCGCTTGAGGTCCTTCTTGCGCACCTGGTCCTTGACGAGGTCCATCTTGGACAGCACGTTGAGGTGGGGGATCTCAAGCATGATCATGGCGGACATGGCGCTCAAGGTGCCGGCGAAGAACTTTGCGCGGTCCACGACGAAGGTGGCCTCGAGGAGGTAGGCGGCGCAGAGGCGGATGTCGAGGGAGCCCGGCTGGGAGAGGAAGCGGGCGAGGGCGGGCAGGATGGGGATGTGGGTGTAGAGCTCGATCTGGCCGGGCATGTCGAAGATGATGAGGTACTCCTCTGTCAGGTTGTCGAGGGCCTCAGTGAGGAAATCGAGGTTCTCCATGAGGAACTCGAAGCAATATATGAGGCCGCCGTTGGGGCCCAGGCCGACCTCTTCCATGGCATCGTGGAGGGAGATGAGGTCCTTGATGTCGAGGTCTGGAGCGTGCTCGAAGGACTCGGCGGCCGGGTCGAGGTTGACGTAGAAGGCGGAGCGGCGGTTGAGGTTCAGATGGGTGATGAGGGAGGCGCAGAAGGTGGACTGGGAGGGAACGGCGTCAGCATAAGCTATCGGGGTCGGAATCGGCCTGGAGAGGAGGCTCAGTCGACGGCCTGTAACAGCCGGGGACGGAGGTAGCTCCGTGGCTGAGACCGAGACTCGGCACGGAGCGTGCTCCAGGTAAGGTATGGAGAGGGACGTGTTTGGGATGAAGCGAACTCACCTTGCCGGCCCCGGCGGGGCCCATGACCATCACGCCGTACTTGCTCATTATGGCGTGTAAGGGTGTGGTAGACGGAGAGATTGATGGGATAGCGGGCGGGAATGCAAGGGAAAGATAGTTCAGGCACAGCGGGAGGGACGGGAGTGGGAGAGAGTTTGCTGACTGTCCGGTTCTCTGCACAAGTTTGATGCTGATTCAAGGATCGGCCAAAAAAAAAAGTCACTGTCGGACGTTTTGGAGGAGGGCAATTTTTCTATGGATTACCCCGCCATGCAGGAACGGGCGCGCGTCAAGGGTCGCGGTGATCGGCCGTTCGCGCGCGCCACCTCGAGTCGGTCAACTTGGTATAAGGTAAGGCAGTGAAGGCTAGACGCAAAGACCGTGGCTTGTACGACGTGATTGAAGCACAAGAATGTCGTATGCAGTCTGTAATCGGTGGCCGGGGTCCTGGGTGATGGAGGGGAAATTTTTTCCTGATTGATAGCTTGCGATAAGGCTGGCATTTGACTAGGTACCTGACTGGTGACTGACTGCAGCTGGCCTTCTCTTTTTTTTTTTTTCCCTCTCTTTTCCCCCTCGTTGCTCGCCGGTCGCCCACTCAGAGCACAATGGGCGGCCACACGGCTTGCTGCGGAATTTCGGTCCAATGCCGTTCGCACGTGTGAGGCGCGAGAGGGGCACATTCTCACCACCCAGATTAAGGATTTGCTACAGTAGAGCTCTGCGTCAGGCTTAGCTCCGTTTCGACAGGGGTTTCTCAGTTGTCTGACGATTCAACAATGTCGACAAGTCCCTCTACACCCCTGCTGCCAAAGCATGCGCGGGTGAGGTACACACGTTGATGTATCAGAGGGATGGCCGAGAAGATGGGGGCGCAAAATCGCAGTTCTCTCGGAAGGCGAGTTCTGCGAGTCCTGCAGGAGAGATGCACCGAGGGAGTCAACGGCCAACAGGTTGAAGGAAGGGACTTAACCTTGCGTCAATTAGTACTGTATGACGCTGGAGTGTTGCCTGCCATCCGGCGCGTGCCGTTGCATATCTGGGGGCGAAAACGGATTTCCTTTTCCCTCAGGAAAGGGATCTTTGTGTGTGTATCTATGGCGCAGAGGAAGCGGCGCAGTTGGACTAATTGCTGACCCAGAGACTCTGCAACAGGTTGTCAGACAATGCATTGGTGACAGGGCGAGACCGGGCGAGTCAAAAAGACAATAGAGTTCCAGAGGGTTTCAACTCCGTGATTGAACAGAGCAAGTGCGCGATGGGTTCTTCAGCTGGAGGCGAGCTTGAGGCGGCACGGAAAGGACAGGCAAGCAAACCTTGATAGACGAGAGCAGTAGAAAAACGAAACACTTGAGCAATTGGGAAGCCCGAGCTCCTTCGGGCAAACGAGGATGAGGGACGGCGTTGAGGTGTGCATCCCAGTCACTGTGTAAATCCGACGATGGAGGCTGGGCCGGCCCCGGACACGCTGCTACGTGGTGGAGGACCTCGACACCACTTCCCTTC